AATACACACAGTAATTCCACACAATCACTCAGTCTGACCTGCTAAAATGAATAGTGTCACTAAGGATCACTATTCCTTTGAGGTACTTTTACTGATCTCTTTAACGTCACGATTGCTGATTCTCTATCTCGAAAAACCAACTATCCACTAACTTTGCAATAATTTTTCTCTTACTAATGAGAATCAACCGTTCTCTCTCACAGCACAATTGTTCTGCCTAAGGGTATGCTGCTTGTTTTTCTCAATGTTTATCTATTTGAGTTTTAGTTAAAGTTAGAATTATGTCGTCGCAACAACTCCTGACATTAACTTTGGTACCCATTCCGCAAGTTCTTAACTGAATTCTTCCTCTGACGACACTAGTATTAAATTCCAAGTTTATTATAGGTATCTCTAACTAGGTTGTGCAAATATCAAGTCCAATTTCACCTGCAAACCGAGTTATGTTTGATTAATTATTCTCCCAATGTTTTTATTTAATTATCCCATTAACGTTCCGACCTGCCAGGGTTAGGGAAAGATCCTTTCTATGGGTCGCCACTTCATTTCAAGCATCTAAAAATCCAATCAAATCTATTCAAATCTCAACCTTCTAGCCATCAGGGGAACGTAATTCGTTAATTAAGGGCCAAAATGTACTTATAAGCCACCTCCGGGAAGCTGTGTAAGTATCCCAATCATTGATATTATTTAAGAAAGCTACTTCCCATGCTATGCTCCTATTACCGCTAAACTTTTTTGGGACGTCTTTTCTTTAGACAGATTGAATTTCTATTAATGGCGCGTTCGCCCAGCTAAATTGAACCCAATGTTTGCTAAGTCCACTTCAATTAATTCCACTACTTCAGTGATACAATGTATATTTTATATCTCTTTCAGCTTCTGCTATCGTTTCCCAATAGGTAAGTTCCCTCCTAAATATTAGTAAGGTGACCGACTTTCAATCCTAGGGTTGGGGTTGGGGAATACACCACTTTCCGGTGTTAATCCCCGGGTTTTTTATGCAATTTTAGTCCTAATCGCCCAAAGGTAGTTTAAAGGTCACTCCGGGGTCAATCTTTCACATATAAGTTTAGAATCTCATAGGGGTCCGACCTACCAAGTTTCATCCGTATCCCGTTAATACTTCCCAAGTAATTCCGTTTATGATGTCCATTATCACTTTTCCCGGGAAAAGACTATTAACACCGGAAGGAGTCGCCGGAGGGGTTTTACTCACAAGGGGTCTTTTTTTGGGGATGAGATGTTGTGTGTAATGCCGTCGTAAATCTATATGCCCCCGCTCATTATTTTGCTTATTTTGCCACCTTTCGGTCTAAGGGGAGTTTTTCCCAATTAATAATAACTTCTGGTCCAACCGCCGGATTTGGCTCATTTTAAAATATGTGATGTATTTTGACACGACCTTTAATATCTCATAGTTTTTGGTTCCCTGCGTTCAATGGGGTCGAGAAATGACTTCCAGAATTCGGCGATGGAGGACTGTTTACTTAGGGCATTTGTCAGCGCCGTATATCCGGAAGTTTTTATTCCCTGGTCTTCTAGGGTTGTGTGCGTTTCTTAATAGGTCCATTGGGATAATTGGCAACAAAATTTACAAAAACTCTTCGCTGTTTTAGTGGGGGACGTCTAAAATTTTTATAGGTAATGCTTAGACATGGGCAACAGGTGGATTTTTCTATATCTCGCAAAGTTGAGATGTCCTAGTGAGCCGACTTCGTGCCTGCTCCTCATTGGCGATTTGATGATCAATTAACCCAAAAGCCTTCAATTTCCCTTGCCTCGTTTTTTAAAGACTTCCAACATTTTTATAGGTAACGCATAAACTGGGCAACAGGTGGATTTTTTATATATCTCGAGAAGTTGAGATCTCCTAGTGAGCCGACTTCTTACATGTGCCCGATGAGTGCTATGAACGTGCTCGATGGTACAACTTTCAGGATTCAGCCTTCATGTTGGCGGGGGACGTCTAAGCCTTTTCTCTTAACCCTTTTCTCTTAATCTTAATACATGGAGGTTTGCTTTGTTACAGTTTTGAGATCTCAGGGAAGTTGACATCTCCTAGTGAGCCGTTTTCTTTCATGTCCCTAATAGTGCTGAGTAGGGGCATGTGCGACACGTATAAGAAGACATTAGTTGCATTTTTCCAAAAAGTATCGATAATGACTTTGAACCCTGAACTTGTTTAAATTTTGATCGTTCCGATTCGTTCACCTTAGGCTAATAATCACTCAACTGGGCCACTAAATTATCGTAGCGTACAGTTCTAAACCTCTATCAGTCCAGGGTAATGCTATCTAAGACGAATCTGGAAGTTAGTCGAATGTACAGCAGATTCACCAATTCTATACAACCTAAAGAAATAGCTTTTGAAAATTAAAAAAGAAATGAAAATTAAAATTTTAGCGTTTCGAAAAAAAATACCCTCCAATACACAAGCCTATCCAAAACGATGTCCTACACAACGGTGATACTCACGCTTATGCATAAGAAATACCTCAAATTGATCAGCTATACTGAGGCAAATTTGATTGGGACTCGCGATACAATGTCGACTCGTAAAATATTACAATGCGTGCAGGCTTGAGTGTGTAAATGGTGCCCATGAGTTATAAACCAATTGCACCCTCTTTTAATCTAACGAAACTCTTGAAATTTCAGAAAATGGTTGGTAGATTTTTTGGAAATCTAAATTGATAAGCCAAAACAATGCATTTGAAAAAAGATTTTTTTAGTGTCTTCCTTTGATAAACTTTATGGTGGAGCCCAGTCTTTTTTTGTGCCAATTTTGTATGTTATGAGGCCAAACTGAGCATTTTGTGATTTGTCAGCGGATTCGCAACAGTCCAGATTTGTTGCAGAATCCGCAACAATGCTACTTTTTTAGCTAAAAGAAATAGCTAAATCACTGTACCGCTCAAAAATGCTGTTGAGCTATTCAAAGTTCGATCTCAATTCCTGTCAGTGTATAACCAACTTCGATCTGAATTCTGCCCGTAGCAACTTCCATTTCAACTCCTGCCCCCAATTTTTTTTAATTACTTCAAACTTCGGATTTAAAAAAATATATGTATGGCTTTGATGCTCTTTGAAACCATTAAGCACTCAAACATTAAAACACCCAATGTTTAAAGCTTTCATCCGGAGAAGTCTTCGCGTCCTATAACTAACCGTTAGATACTTGGCTCAACAAAACCAGGCAAAAAGTTCTTCTTTGGAGTTTTAGTTTGTCTAAAAAAGCTAAGAAATTGCCTGAAAAACTCCCGAAGAAATGATTTGAATTCTGGTGATTTTGAAACCAGATTTACGAACAGCTAAAAAACTAGATTTGCACGTTGTTATTATAAAAATGATGCGAAGCTGCACTACAAAAACAGAAGCTACACTTTGTCACTACGGATAATAAAAAACACGTACCAATTGACTTGGGTAGTTCCATCCAGCTCTAATGGGCCACAAATAGGTATAAATATGGATATCCTTGAACTAAGCGGATCCAAACTCGCGTTATTTGAAAATGTTCCATTTTAAATAAACTCAACTCTACAGAGAAGCTGCATTTCGAAAGAGCTTGCAAGTGCTAGAAGTATACTCAGAGGCGAATCTGCATTTCGCAAATGCATGCAAAAAAGGCCAAGGCATAGCTTTAAAAATGTTTTTTTTTTTAATTTAAAAAAGCAAAAAAAAAACATGTTTTTAGTGAAAATGCTCTACGGGAAGCGAACTACTAGCCTCGACATTCCAAAACTATGGCCTACTAAGCTGTTCTGCTCGCGCTTATTTGCCTCGAATTATAGCCAATCATAACGCGAAAAACAAGTTATTAATCCAGAGGCGAAGTTGCACTTCGCATGCACAAGCAAAAATATGACCGACAACGCTACTGGGAAAAACTGAATGAGTAACACTTTGAGTCTACAAAATTTTTCAAGTGCCGCACGCCAATTGCGAGTCTACATTGCTAAGTGACGCAGGCCAATTATGACGCATTAGCAGCATCAGTCATTTAAAAAAAAAAATTTACCAACTAACATGCCTCAATTTATAGAGCGTACGCATTTCAACTAATATACGAAAAAGTTCATTAAAAACATCCGAACCTGCTAAGCTTCGAACCCTCTTATTTTGACGTGGGTCTCCTTCCCTACCGTTATGCTAGAGATCCATGATACCTTGAAGCTAAAGTGCTATTTGTGATATAATAGTCAGTTAATATCCTTAGCGTTGGCTGTACTTGAAAGCTGGTTATTGATAAAACATAAACAATTTCAAAACGAACACATTTTGTCGCAACAATAATTGCTACTTAGGTTGGAAAAAAAGTTCATACTATAAAACAAGCTTTGCGTGTGTAATACTAAGATTATGCAGCAAACGTGCTACCAAAATGATCACTAGACGCGATTTGGATTTGAAAAAAAAACAGGTAAAATAACAGAATGCTTGCAAGTTCACAATGGTTGACGTTCCCAATGAATTTTAAACCGATTGTTACTTCAATTTTAGAGCTTTTAGAACTTTTATAATTTTTCAATTTTATAACTTAATTTTGATAGACTTCCTGGGAATCCAAGCTAATCCTTTTTGAGAAATTTGGATGGAAGTGTAAATTATATTTCATAGGTAACATACAAAAAAAAATCCGATTGGAGAGCGTAATTTTAGAAAATTAGAAAGAGAAACTGATAAAATTCGAACCCCAACACAAGTTTTAAGATTTAGCACAGCGGCATTCAGTGAAAGATCACTTTTATCATTAACGTTTTCGAGTCGTAGCGTAATTCAATACTGCCCCTTGCTTTTTATAAATAAAATTAGTCTTCAAAACTGAGTACAAATGTTTTAGGTTTTTTTGTTGTTACGAAGCTAGCGGAGGAAGATTAAAATGAGGTCCCTATAATTATTTTCTCAGCAACTATTCCGTTTCTAAACGCACTCAGTTAGAAAAATTGAATTCAAATTTTAATTCATAAATACAACCAATCTTGAAATTAATCGGCATGGAATAAATGCATATACCTTAAACTCCAATGCATTCAGGATTGATCTTAAAAGTATAAAATACGAACTCTTCAAAGTCGAAAGCAAAATTCAAATCAAATCAAATCTCTGTCACTACAAAAACAAATCTAATAAACAACGAGGCTTCAGTAAGTAAAACATACGTATTGATTGAAACGTTTAAAAAAAATCAAGTGCGATTTCAAACAACGACAAGAGTAAGACTTTTTTGATGTTAGAAAATTTGAAGCCCAGAAATGGCGCTCAAGGCCGAGATCAAGTTTTGTCTGTTTGCATTTCCAACTTTGCTTTTTTTCCTTACCCCTCCCCCTCGCCCCTCAAATCCATATACACGTGAACATCAACTCAGTAGCGTAGTAAGTGGTTTTACAAGGTTAAGCATGCAGACGGAAAGCTAAATATGTTTACCATTGTCCGCATGACATAAATTAATCCACATGCCAATTTTATAACAATTGGACAAGATGAACAAAAATTAAGCCAGTAACAATTCGCAGGAGGGGGAAGGAAAAAACCCAAATTTCAATTTTTCACAGCGAGTGTTTATGATCACTTCACTTGAGTTTGACATATTTGAGTTTCTCTGGGGGTCCGTAGCGGTAGTCGAAGAACAGCTCCTCCCCCGCGGCTATGTCCCGTTTGGCGAATATGCCTATCCTGTGGTCTCCGTTCACCAACAACACTTTGGCATGGCAGTTCGGGTTAATCGAGTGGTTCGCAAATCTGATCTTGTTGCCCTATAAAACTTCCACATGAGCATAGACAACCAACTTATGAAAATTTTATTTCCGGTAAAAATTCACGAATTTGTACAAAAATCCAATCAGTTGGACGCTCTATTGGAACATGAGCATCCTTGTTAACAAATCCTGATTCTTTATTTAAGGATTTTTTCGAAAAACAGCCAAATATACGTTATTTGAAACAATTTAAATCTGAGCTCATCCCAGTTTTTGTGTCTAACGGATTGTTTCGCTCCAAAATTTAGTCAAAAGAGACGATTATGAATTACATTGGCAAAAAATTATATTGGTGACTTTTTATCAAACGTTATTTCACAAAAACTCTTAGCGAAACTCATCAAAAAGATCATAATAAAAAGAAATGTTAGATGCAAACGTGCTCCATTTGCGTGGCTGATTGTTTTACTAGCCTTTCGGGTGGCGTCCACGGAGTGTTCGTTGTTGAGGTCGAAAAGGTAGCTGCATTGCAGTTGGTCATACACTTTGCCCCTCCTCTCTGCCTCGTCATGGGAAATCACTTCCCCAATGTACTCTGCCATCAGGTCGTCCTTCTCGGCCGAATACTTGGTGAATGCACCCCACCCACTCACGTTCGATTTGCCTAGACGAACAATACCAGATTCAAGGATAAACTATAGTCTGTCGGAAAAAACTGTTACCTGATGGTATGTAATGAAGTGCTAACGAACTCAAAGAAACGCAAAGAAACTGATTGACGTAAAAGCTCTTTGAATTTCAAGAACTTTATGATTGACAGTTTTTTTCATAACTTTATGAACCCAATTAGAGAAAATAGGGTCAAGTCAATAGGCAACTCTTTATTTCTCTGGGAATTCTAGAAAGTCCATGAGCGTAATTTGTCTTCCTTTTTGCAAATGAAAAAGAACAAAAATCAATTGTCAAGCCACCACGAAAAAGTTATTATTGTGTGTCAGCCACTTAATAGACTTTTTCCTAAAAAAGAAAACCCCAAAATAATGAACACTGAACAACTATTTTTTTTCGATTTCTTCATTTTTAGCTTTTTTAAACGAGCAAACAAAATTGAGAAAACTGGATCGAAAAGCAAATAAATATTTATTTTTTCGCCAAGTAATGGGAAAAAAACCAATGAACGCAAGTAACCAGAAAAAAAATAACGAACTGATCAATTTTCCATGAAAAAAAAACTAGATGAACTTTTTATGCTGGACACTTTTTTGATGAAATTAACCCAATTCTAGAAAACTGGATCAATATGAAGAATTTTTATTTCGATGGGAAGCCTGAAAATAAAATCAACTTTCAAAAGTAGAAGTCCACATTTTCCGTGAACTTAACACTTTTGCTATTCGATAGTGAAGTTAACCTTCCTTTCAATAAAGGAAATGAACTGAGCTCAAACAAAAATCAAACGTCGAACCGCGAAAAATTGAATTTGAGAGTGAACAAATTTTAAGACTTTTCCTCGAAAAAAAAACAAAAACAATCATCGCGACCTATATAAGCGTCTTCACTACGTTCATCGACTCTTAAACATAACCTATACCTAGTTCCTATTTGTTATCGCGTCATAACACTCTGGGTAAACTGCGTTGCACCACTTAACTTTTTGGCGTGATTGGCACTTTTGACTTTGAAGAGAGTAACTTTTTTTCCCTTTTTTAAGATAGCCAGCAAAACGTTGGAAAAGCGTGAAGGAAATTTAAAAAATCGGAAAAAACTGATGAAACTTTTCTAAATAACTTTGATTTGAGACTTTGAGGACAAACAAGAAATACCTCAGAATTGACCTTTTTCAACGGCCATTTCTTCCAAAGTAGATCAACGAAACAGTTGTGAACTGAACAGCTCCTATATTCTACCACAAATTTGACACAGAGGCTACTTGTAGGATTTGATCTGCGACCTAAAGGATATGAGTACTAATCTGTGCACCAACCACTCAGCCACGGACGCTTAATTAATGACAATCACTAGCCACAAAAAAAAGCAGAGAACATTTCCAATGCTAGAGTAAAGATTCCATATACGTAAATGCTTTCTTTTATTTTCGAGATAGTATGGGAAAAAAAGAAGGCTCGTACTACAACTGACACTCGTAAGCTCGCTAGTGTTAGCAAGTGAATTCGAAATATAACACTACGCTCACTAGATAGCTTGCGTAAGCTTAAGTTTTTAAACATTTAAGTTTTTTTCTGCCTGTGAAACCCTTGCATAATGTCATACATTCCATATAAGCCATTTCGATATTATAGATTATATAAATCATCCTGATATTCAATTGGAGATCAATCATTTATTCATTGAATTATGTAAACATTGAAGTAAAGCATACCAATCAATGGAAACTTATACCGAGGTGAATATCAATTGAACAGAAAGCAACAAAACAAATTGTTCCAATCATTCTCTAACTTGCGCCGATTGACGAGATATAATCTAGAAGAATAGATCTGACTCAGGCATGCCTCTAAAAAAGATATGCCTTAGCAATTTGAACATATATAAGTAGCATTAACAATTGATAGCCAATGGCGCTAATATTAACAGCTCGCAATTAACACAAAGAAGGGCGATGCAGCGTCTAGCGCCATCCGGAGGCGCTTAATGACACGCCCCTTAGCGCATTTGTTATTTGGGAGCATTATTTGCCTTTGGGAAATGAACTTTAAAAAAATTAATAAGAAATCAAGTCGAACTGGCAAAAGATGAAACTGAGAGCAAACAAAAATTGATTTTTCCTTTGAAAAACGATAAACACCACAAACTAGAAATCACACGACCAACAGTCTGAAAAATGTTGATGAACTAAAAACCAACAGTACTAACTAAAACCCAATAAATTCAAAAAAATTTACAAAAAAAAGCATATTTTCTTAATTATTTCAATTAAAAATTCAGCACCTTTCTATTTCGGGAATTTTTCATGATAATAACTTTTTTGACAAAACTACCTTAAACTGTTAAATCTAGTGATTTATTTATTTTTACGCCTGAATGTTAAAAATTGAAAGCAGGTGAAGCTGCTCTTAGCGAACACAAGCAATAAAACGTGTAAAATTAGCTCCTCAAAAAGGTTTAAAAAATAACGAAAAAAAGTTAAAACGAGTCGAAAAAACACAATTTTTGTTCTGCCGGAATTGCACTGCTGGCCTGAAGAATAAAAGAGTCACGTCCTCGTATCTGCTCCATGGTCGCTTCACATTACGCAAACACTAGCCACCAATAAAGCAGATGCAACAGGTGATACTCAATTACCAATGCTATGCAGCATAATTATTGCCACCTTAACACCTGAACTTGAAATGAACTTTTAACAAAGAACCTGCGCTTTGCAAAAACTAGCGGTAAATGACAATAAAGCAGCTCTATAAAGTGAAATTTAAAAAAAGTACAAATAAGCCTCGAACTAGTGAAGAATTCGATCCTGCGACCTAAAGACTATGAGTCTCACGCACTAACCGCTCAGGCACGGACGCTTAACCACAAATTAAGCAGAGAATAGATGCTGTGAAATTTCCAAGGCTACAAACCATGATTATAGCAAAAGTAACATCAAATGAGCACTTTTATTTGCAAGTTAGCATTGCAAAAAAGGTTCATACTAATTTACACAGAGCAGGCTCGCAGTCAGAAATGAACAAAAGCCACTAAGTCGAAAAACAATTAGAACATTCCGAAAAAAAACAATAACCAAATTTTGTCAAGTTGTTAACCCGAAAAAAGTCTATTCTCCACTTTGATATCGCTTGCTTATCGCAAGAGGAATTTAAACATTCCTCGGGCATGCGATACCTAGACCACTCACACGGGTATTCTTATGAACAGCCAACTGGTTCCTAAAACTGGTGAAAAATGAATTGAGGGAAAATGAGGTGATTTTTGCCCCATAACCCATTTTCACTGACCGACTAGAATGTGTTTGCGGAGTTGTCGTTGGATGTTGACATTTCTGCAGGCAGGCACCAAATGAGTGTAATCATCTGCACCACAGTGACCACACAAGTCTGGGTCACACTCGCGCTTGGCCACGAAACACGCACAATTCTTCGTGTCACATTGCCCACCCCTATCAGCAAAATTGCAAGTTCATGACTGTCTTTTCACTCAGCAGATAAATAAAAAAAACACTCATTGAACCAACCAGAAACAAAAAAACTGAATGCCTTACGCAAAGAACACGCAAAGAACTTTTCATTTTCAAATCACTTTCAATTGAATTTACGTTCAAACTTTCTCAATATATATTAAAGCAAAACATAAAACACTCAGAAAACTACAGTGCTGATTTGAATTATCCGGAGAAGACAAACATCGGAAACTTAAAATGCGTTTTTCTCAAATTGGCTTAAGATAAGACAAAAAATAAAGAGAATAGCTTTCGCTTAGAATATTACCAGAATTTTTAAAGAACTATTTATTTTTCAAAATTCAGAACCATTTTGACTATTTTTTAAGAGTTTCGCTAAAACTACTGAGTTAATTGATAAGAAAATTATATCAAAAGGAGCCTCTTACACACCACGACAAAACTCTAGAAACTAAAATCTGCAAAAATCTGTATAAAAGAATATACTTTAGCTTGATAGTCAAAAACGGTCATTTTTACTAACAAAACTCAAAATTTTTGCTTTAAATTAAATTTTAAACGTTTTGCGCAAAGTTTTGGAGACAAATTTAATATTATAGAACTTTATCGGTCTGTAAATGAGGCTCCTTTTGATACAACTTTCTTATCAATTTTATCAATTAACTCGGTAGTTAAGCGAAATTTTTGCATTAATTAAAAAAGCCAAATGACCTATTTCTTGAGGTAAAAAAAATTGGTGAAACTCTAACAACTTGCCTTTTTTAATTTTTTGTCTAATGTTAACCCACTTTGAAAAAAACGCAATAAGATATTATTTGGCTCACATCATATTGAATGCATCACTTTATGTCCACGTTTTGTAGTTTAAAAAAACAGCTTATTTGCTGGATTGTTTGAAGACCGCCTCTATATTGGACATGACTAACCTGCACTTGCATCCTCTGAACCTGTTGGGACATTTAGGCGAGCAGAGACAGAACTTCTCACAGAAGGTGCTGTTCCTCACACAGTGGCAGTCGGGGGTGCAGTACAGCTCCCGGGGAGAAGAAGAGGAGGGGTGATCCTGGTGCAGACAGGGGGTGTAGTTAGCCAGTCTTCCGTTGTTCCTGTGCACCTGCTCCGCTATTTTCCTCTCTGCATTCTGCGGCAGCGACCAGTCCTAAATATACAAATAGTCATCTAACCAAATTCGGGCGAAATTTGAAGATCGTGAAACAAAAATTTTGTTTCGCTTGAAAACAACAGTGAATTCAGTTTAAAAATTTCTCAACGTTAACAACATTTATCAACCACTAAGAAGATTTTCAAAAATTAGGCACTTAAACATGTCCATCAAAAAAGAAAAATTTGAGGAGACTGCTGCTTTTCCCAAACTCGGAAATGTCAGAAACTTCGTTACACTTATACCCAACAACCTGATTGGATAACATATGACTGCGACTCAATTCAACTGCAGGAAACAAAAAAAAAACAATTTTTGTCATACAGATGGTTGGAAAATTTACCAAGAAGAGTTAATGAATACCATTCGCACACATGAAGCTGAAAAAAATGTGCGTTACAATAACGTGAAATTTACAATTATTTTGTCGATCCTAGGCTGCTTCCCAAACTTTCTTTTCAAATTCGTAGCATCTGTGAATTTCAGCGAATCACTGTCGTAGTCTTTCATATCATCAGCTTCTTCTACCAAAATTTCCTCTCCATTTTCATTTTCTACTTCCTCGTCTTCAGCTAAATGAACTTTATCTTCGGATGCCTCGATTGGTTCAGTCGTCTCTTCAATAAATTCGATCTCTTTTAACTTGGTGTAAACCTGCAGACACGTTTTGAACGGGAAACAGCCTGCTATCTTGCAAACTTGCTGGCCTAACGAAGGCAGAAGCAGTTTCAAAAGGGTAAGCTCGTGGTTTAACCATCCCAATTGTTCGTTATCTGAACTTTTTTCGGTTCCGTTCACAATGTTGTTAATGGTATCATTGGTTTGTACTCCTTGTTTATCCTGCCAAGCTTGCATTTGATTCAAATCTAAATTTGGGCTTCCCGCATTGTCCACCTTCATCGGCGAAGATTTCCCCGATGTTTCGTCAATAGACCTGTTAGTCATCTCGCTATCTTGTGCTTTGCTCTGTTCAAGGGAGAGTCTATTGAACAACATGGTTCCAAATTTATCACAGTTGTGTTTCGGCTTAAAGGGTTTTGCTTTCATTGGCGACTGAACTGTGGAAGATGACTCACAAGACGAGCCAGTGGAGGAGTAGAACGGAGAATTAAATCCTTCGCTGTTCGATGGATCTGTTTCCATCTGATCCGATTCCGTCTCTGCCTGGTTCGCTGCTGTAAAAGATGTCAGTGAGACTTTGGTTTATATATTTTGGTTTACAATTTGATACGATAGTCTACTTAACCCTGATGATGAACCGCATCGAAAAGAGTCATTTGGTGTATTTGCTAACAAGAACGTACCCAATAAATGGAAAGATTTGAGTTCTAGAAAATGAACCAAAACCACAAAACGTGCACCTTCTCCGCAAAACATATACTCCATACTTTATACACAGAAAAAAAATACTCCTAATATCGAAGCTCCAGACTGTAAAAGCTCCTTGAAATTCCACGCTTTCGTTTGAAGTTTTTATCAGCAACTAAAATTCTGTTTTTATAGCTTCGCAGAAAAAATTCCGTTATAAATTTTAATTCTTTTTTTTTCGTGAATTGACTTGAATCATATAAAATGAAACACTGACACCTCTACCTGTCATCCAAGGGTAAGTTTGAAGAAAACAATCTTTCCCACATGGAGAATTAGCCTCGTCTGACCCTCCAGGCCCTGATGATGTTTTCTTCCGCGACACTATCGATGGACCGCAAGGAGGCAGAATGGAGTGATTGGGACAGTCGTAGATGAAACATCTTCGGCAGAACAGGTTGCGATACGTGCCCAGAACCAATTGGCCCTTCGACGGATGGGACAAGGGATCATTGATATTCTCGCTCGCAGCGCTAGCCTTTTTAATCGGACCTACACAAATATTCTGATGTTTGATATTTCAATGATATACATTTGAAGACATAGACAACTAATGATTGAACAGTAGCGGATTTAAGGGGATATGGGGAAGCAAATATGGTGGGGGTGTGGGCCCCTGACCACTCAAGCGACATACTCTTTTACGACATCCGTTTCTCGCAAACTGACTCGAAGCCAAAATATAGTAGTTATGAGGGGTTTGCTTATGGCCTGTTTGTTTTTTTTAAACCGCCTGCAGCACAGAAAAATCGGTTAGTTTGATTGACCTAAAAAAAGATGGACAAAATTTCCACTTTTTAAACAACACGCCCTCACCCTTCTCCCCTCATCCCTCGAGAAAATCCTAGATCTGCTCCTGTGATTGACACTTTTTTAATAAACCGTTTCAATGTGAATTTTGATCGGCTGGGAAAAAACAATAATTTGTTTAGTAAATGGAATAGGGAAGATCCCGATTACAAGACACTCGCTTTCACAAGTGTGCTGATGAGAATGATGTATCCGCAAAGCCAAAACTCGAGGAAAACTAAACAACCAAATTTTGTCTGAAAAAGGGAGAAATTTCAGCAGTATACCTACCCTTGACACCAATTTTTTTTAAAATATTATTTCTACTCAAAAATGAGCTTAACCAGCTGATAATTTTGTTTAAAAAAGTTTTAAGCCCCCTAAAACTGCAATGAACAACACTTGCGACCAAATAAAAATTGCTCACTGCACAAGAAAAATCCGCGATGTGGCAACTAAGACGTCAAAACTTGAGCAAACAAACGAAAGTCCGACAATTCAATTTTTACCGGAAACCAATTTCATTCATAATGAAAAAAAAACAAGGTCCGGCAAGGACTCGAAACGCAAACCTTCGGGTGCGAAGGCAACCACGTTACCTCTAGGCCAATCGGGAACGAACCTGGCAGTTTGCTCAGGTTCAATAAAAAAAGCCAGTAAGAAAATAGAATGATGTGTTAAAGAAAAGTTGTTAAGGGCAAAAAGTCTAGTTCCCGATTACAAGACACTTGCTCTCGCAAGTGTAATAATCATTGCGAATAGATGGATATACATCTTGATTAGTAGGATACTAGTAAGGGCTGCACTAACGGCTATTACTTCTAGTGCAGTACTTATCTCTTCGATAGTTGGAACAAAGGAGAGCCTAACCCCCCTCCCAAGAACAGTAAGTGAATAGAACTAAAGAAAGATCTTTTTCCTTTTTCCGTTAATGTATACCTATAATCATCTAGTAAAAGTTCACAAAAAGTTCTTACTGACCCGAACTCTTGTTGTGGTATCGTTCTTTCAGCTCTAGAATATCGACCCATTTGAACAATTTGGCCAGCAGGGCGAATGCCTTGTCCGGGGGAAGATCAGTGGGCAACACGGGCAGAATGCCCACCTGCTCCTTCTCTTCTTTCTCATCAAGTGACTCATCGCTCGGCTGCGCCTGCTGAATGAATTGCACAGAGCAAGTTTACTTTCTAAGATTGAATTAGTTCGCGTATCTTCGTATCTTTGAAAACCGACTCTCAGGAAAAGAGTGCGAAGCAAACAAATAACTTCAAAAAAGCATTAAGAACAATGTACAAAATAACAAACTATTTGAGAAAGACCATTTTAAAAATTGAAACCACAAGGTAAGTTGCTTCGTTACAGAATAATAAGTCATATAAATAGTATGCGCTAAGCTTGCCTTATACTATTCGAAGCTTTCGTGACAATTGTTCCTTAGATTTTAATGTCAAGTCATTTAATCCAATAAGGTAAAAAGAACTAACTTTGAATGGGAGCAAAGACCAAAAAAGCACATCGCGGCTCAGTATTGGTTCGCACCTTTTGCAATACAAAAATAAAATATTCTGCATTTGAAAAATGAAAACAAATGAGCTATTTTGCCGAATCTGTCAAAATATTTCGAAAGTTAGTATAACAATTAGTATAACAAAAGTACTACGAGATAAAAACCTATTAGATAGCTAAGCGTAATAGCGAAAAAGTGGATACATATAGAGCAGCAAAATAAACAAAAAATCTTGAAGAGATATTTGAAAGTTTTATACGAAAGGCAACAAAATTAGGTACGGTGAATAAAAAAAAGATGGAATTGAAATGCAGCAGTGGAAATAAATTTATAAAAAAAACTATTTCGAAAATAAACTTAAAATGAAACAAGGGCAACCGGTTGCTGTACAAGTTGCAAAAAAGTCCACACCATATTCTTTAAAAAAATTACATAACAAAAAATTTTTCCAAATTAGAAATTTTAGGTGCGCGGTGTGATGAAATGAACTAAATGAACGCCTAAACTAAGGCATATTCAATAGTCATAGTAAAAAAAGCATATTGGTCAACTTTTTCAAATTTTGCAGAAAATTTGAATTTTCAAGACTTTCAGTCCCAATAGCACTAAAAAACAATAGCACTAAAAACTTTATTGAAGTAAAACTAAGTTTTCAGGTCTTGAATTAAAGTTTCGTGTTGTATACTTTCATAACAAGCCTGCTCGCCCGCTTCTTTGCGCGTCATTAGACTAAAATTTGATGCAGATTTTCCCAAAACTGATGGTATTTTTCTAAATTTTTAGAAATGTCGTTCCAATCACGACTGAAAGTACTTTATTATGATATAAAACTCTACCCATTCCGATGATCATTTGTGGTACCTAATTTTCAGTGAAAAAAAAACGAAAAAAAAACTATAACACACCCGAAGACAAAAACTCCTCCCCATTTCGGAAAAGTAACTGTTTTCAAAGAGTACAAGGCTGCTCAATGAATTAATTATACGGAGAGATTGAACAGACTTTACCAATTTTAAGCTGCTGAAAAAATGGCGGCAGCTGTTCCACTGAAGTTCCCAATGCTAAGAAAACCCAGCAAATTTTTTTCGGGTTTGAGAGCAACTGTCAAACCATAAAGCGCGTTTAGATTGGCCAGAACTCAATTTTAAAAAAGCCAACTGAAAGTTGGAACAGAGTAATGCACGCAAGGTACAAAAAAAAACGTGGTGAAGTGGTTGGGGAGCGGTGGTGAAGTGGTTGGGGAGCGGTGGTGAAGTGGTTGGGGAGCGGTTGTGAAGCGTTGGTGAAGTGGTTGGGGAGCGGTGGTGAAGTGGTTACGTCTCCGCTTCTCAATCGAAAGGTCGGATGTTCGAGGCCCACCATGATCCGTGCTCGTTGCTTGAGGGTGAAGCAACATTACCCAGCCCAGAAAAATAACCAAAAAAAATAATAATTGCATGTAGTTCTTAAACAGGGGCACAACAGCGATTCGCCGTGATGAGCTGTACAGCTCTTGTGTTGGTCCTTTCCCCCGTGGATAAATGATCTTAATTAAACTTGTTTTTTGAATAAATTTCAACTTAGGAATTTTAAAGAAAAATTTAAATGTCCCTGAAGCTCTTTAAATTTCAAGAAAAATTTATGACTGGTAATTTTTTAAGAAACTAACCCATTTAGAGACAACTGGATCAATAGGTAAAATTAAAATTCCAATAGAAAATTCAAAAAAAAAATCTACTTTCGAAAAGAGAAGTCGGTCACGTTTCTCGTGACCTCTATACTATTGTTGTTGTTCGATAATGGAGCTTGCCTTCCTTATAATCATGGAAATAAACAGAACTTCAGAAGTCAACTCACAAAAAATCAAAAGTGAGCGTGAACAAATGTTAAGGCTTTTTCCTTAGAAAAAGAAAAAACTTAACAAGACCTATATAAGAGTCTTCATACGCTCATAACTCCTAATCACTTCGGTTAATTTTCTGAGCAGTCAATTGATCAAAAAAGAAGTCGAAAAATTTTCAAATATTTCCATTTTTCTTTCAAGGTGTCTTTCCACTAAAATTGCAAGAAAAGCTGGGCAAAAAATTTGTATAAAGGCAGCGGTAACAAGAAGAGTAAAATAGCGAAAAAAACTTGAGCTAGTCGAGTGAAAGAAAAATAAAACAAAAAAAGTATCAACTTCAAAAAAAACTTCAAGTTGTTAATTCAGAAACAGTAAGCTTTTCGCAGCTATAAAAATGAAAATGTTGAAAATAAACTTATTTTCTTTGTTTCTTTGATAAACTTACAAACCTAACCGAAAAAAACAAATTCGCCTTTTAAATTAGCTTCATGTATGAAATTAGGATAAAAATTTCAAATGTGTTCGAACTAGGTAAATACTATTGGTAAGGTAAAACGTACAGAAATAGTAGCAGTCGCCACACGCAACAACGAGCAGTGCAACAATGAATACCATGAAGGACCTGCAAAACGTAAGCAAAGCTGCTTACTTCTAAAAAACTCATGAGCCTTAAAGGCAGAAAAAGATAAGGGCCAAGATTTATTACAGCAAAAATAGGAAAGAGAAAAAATATACGCGAACTCTTCGGATGCTCACAAATTATCGAACAAACATAATTTAAGCTTAATCTGAAAATTCTTTGACTCTAGTTCTAACATCCCTACGCTGCGCAGATTTTTGAAATCCGACCTATCTGAAGATTTTTATCCTCTGAGGCTTTTTTGCTTCTGATTAACATCTACATGCATTTTCCACATCCGGCTAAATGCATTTTTGGGGGTCTAGGAGTAGTTTTGCTCTCAAACAATGAATACCGATCACGATGGGTCCGAACTTGCTATTATAAGAAGCTGAAACCTTAGCCACTTCACAAGCCCTCAGAATGACGCATATAAGGCGTCTATGCCAAAAACATTTGAAGAGGATTAAATCTTCAAAGCAAAAAAGAACCACAAAATATAGAAAATTTTATCTATTTGACTTGCAAATCACAGGAATAAGTCAAAACTCCTTGGATTAAACGTTGGAGACATTCGGAACACATCCAAATTACCTCTGCTTCAGCATTTTCAACATTCGTTTGCTCATTCGTTGTTTCTCCTTGAGACTCCTTTTCGGTAGCATCAGTTTGCTTGGAAGATCCACCGCTATTAGTCGAAACAGAACTGCTCTTCTCACTTGTCTCTTGTTCAACATCAGCTTCAATTATTTTCTTTTCTTTCTCTTCGTCTGTTTTGTTCTCTTCATTTAGTTGTTTCAGTTTCTCCTGCTGTTGTTTCATGTTTTCTTCTCTCTCAAGTAGAGCATGCAGGTCTCGCATGGCTTCCACAGCCGTACAGAACACCACATCTGGCACGTACTGGATCTCAGACAGATGGGAGATTCTGATAAACATGAAGAAATCGAAATCCGAAAACTGACAGTAAATATGCCCCAAAAATATCATATTTACAATTACAATGAAAGGATGGGTTGCTCTAGAACTATCGCGAGGGATGAAACCTGTCAAAAAAACTAGAAATCTAGCGAACTTTTGAGACCAATAATTTCTCACGCTTTATCTACACCTTAAAATGACCTTATAACTACAAAAAACCATAGCAAAAAAAACTCCGTGAAACCGTGACAATGCAATTGATTTGGAAAGACTCACTTTCCGGCAAATATCTGTTCGAGTTCGCTGAGGAACTGGCCCTGGCCATTGTTGGACGTGGAGTCTGGATCGCCCAAGTAGGGCACATTGGATAGCACAGTGTCGTCCTCTGCTCGGAACTGGATGTGACATGTGAGCCACGAGTACATGGCAGGCAGCACAATACGCTCCGACATCTCCCTTCCAATCACCTCACACCCTTAAACACAGCTGCTGTGATGTCATCATATCTAGTAGCGGACTTAGTTGGGCCGGGGTGGCGCTCGACCCTCTGACTACACAAAGGGCCACCCTTTCGTATTATTTTAGGAACTCAATTTTTGGCTGGCTGACCGTAAAATTTTTCTAAAGGCGCCAAAAAATATATATTATTTTGAGGGGGAGAGCGCCAAAAAAATTTGACTGCTGCGCAAACAACTTGACCAAAACAGATTCTTTACAGTGCTTTGGGTGGGAATGCTCAGAAAATCAATTTTTTGGTAGACCTATAAAAAAGTTCAAAAAATTTAAGAAAATCTTATATCCGCCCATGATCATATCTCAATTGTTTTACACCCATCCCATTTCACTCCTCGCATACTTCTCTCTCATTTTTGGGATTTGTCTGAGCAATATTAGGGCCGAAACGTGTGAGGGTGTAATGTGAAACTTAAATGAAAAGAAGCTGAATGAGGGGCTGAATGAGGGGTCAGATTCCATACTAGTATATTTGAATCAATTGAGTTTAAATAACCAACATTTAAACCGGTTTTACTCATCGAGATAATTTTTCGAAACCAAATCACGGCTGAACGCTTTTATTACGATACCAAACTCTACCCTCTCCGAGATTTCTCTGAGGTATCTGGAATCCAGTCAGAGGCGGATCTGGGATTTTCCCGAGAGGGTAAGGGGGGGGGGCATTTTCAACAAATTTTCTTGAAAATTTTGATTACTTTTTTTTAAGTTTTCGAAAAAATTGATTTTCCGAGCGCTCCCGGTACACTAAAAAGACCCTTATAGACAAAAATTCTGCATCACAGGCAAAAATTTCAAAAAACAGGCCAAAAGGACCTTTTTGAGTACTTTTTGGAAGGTTTTGACCTAAAAATGGCTTTTCTGGGCGCGCTCCCCCTCAAAATTACTATATCTTGGCCCGTGATAATTAGAATATAAACTGTTTGAGTCCGTTGGCCGAGAAAGGATGTCGTAAAATAGTAACAAATGTGGGACCCTTTGGGTGGTGAAGGGGTCGAATCCCTGAGGAGCGAATCCCTAAACCGAGTCAAGGAAGTTTTTGCCACTCCATAAATCATTAAAGCTGACCACAATTTAGTCAAGGAGTTTCACCAACTTTCTCGGACGATGCGTACATTTTGACATTAGAAAATTTGGCTGTAAATATCTGGCAGGTGTTTAACTATTTCCTGTCTTTACTAGCATAAAGCGAAGACTTGCGCTCATCGATATGCGACACATAAAAATTAAAATCATTCATTCTCGGCCATTGTAAAATATTGATGGCTTCAAATCACTACTGACAGTGGCGGCGTGAACTTTAAATCTACTTTCTTGAGAAAAAATAACAGAATGTAAGAACACATGGAAATTGTACCAAATTAGTACAGCTCTCCACGCATATGCACAACTACAAACCAGTTGAAGGGCAGAATAATTTCCTCTCCTTCGCTGGTGGCTGTTGAGATCTCTTGTTCGCTTTCTTCTTTATCTCAACTGGTTCATGTATGTTCTCATTGGTTTTATTCACTGGTTCCTTCTTCTTTTTACCTCGACCTTTCACTTTCTGTTCATGTTGTGGCGCAATCATATTCTCGAAACTCTGGAACGATTTGATTTTACAGTCCAAATGAATACAACTGTTTCTCATTCCAAAAGAGTTCCAATCATCAGTTACCATCTGAGCAGTTTCTGCCCAAATTTTTCTCGCTACTAACTTTTCATCGTCCAAGTGTTTCATCATCAGCTCTTTTACTTTGGTTTTGCCAGCTTCCAAGAACTTTTTGTCAATTTCGGAAGTGAAAGGGAAACTAAACAGACAGAGTTACTCTCTGTTCCGAGTAATTCGAAGAATATATTTATTAAATGACTGAGAAGTTTACGTCATATCCTTTAACTTGAGACTGAATTTATTCTATTAATTAACATAATTTAACTATTATAACTCACAAACCTCTAAAAGAACGTTTAACTCCTCAGAGCTCAAACCCTATAGATATAAGAATATGAAACTAAATCTATATTTAATTTTATTAAATGTCACTGACTTTTGTTCAAACTCTTCCTTCAGATTTGCATGTGGCGATATCTTCATACTGTCAGGAGTCCCCACCGATATCTGGCTGATATTTCCCCCAAGAATCTTATTCACTTTTCCAATGGGTCCCTTGCTCTCACTCGAATCGGTGTCCAAATCTGTAAAGGAGACGTCTTCGTTCGAGCAATCAACAGCCAATGTGCCTCCGTATTGCATCTTCAGCAGGGTCAAATCTTTGCAACCTCTAGCGTTGTTTCTTTTCGGTTGTTCTACCACTTCGCCTGCAGATGTATCAGAATCACTCGGCTCCTGCTTCACAAAAGCTTTCGATTTCTTTATCATCTGGGAAAAATCGGGATCACTAGTTAAATTTTTTGGCACTCTTTTCCTGCCATTTTGATCTGATGTTTCAAAGGTCTGTTTGCTCATGCCTCCATCATTGTCCATTTTTATCTGCAAGTTCACTCCAGTCAAAAATCAAAACTTAGGGAAAACATAAGTTTTTTAGAGTTTTTTTTGGATTTATTAGTACCATCCCGTGGATTGGTACCATCTGTTGGATTGGTCGAAACAGCAAGCGTATCGAGTAAACCTCTTACAGAAAATGGAAACACCATTGCATTAAATATTAGGCCTCTAATTCCAAATTTCGTTTAAATTAAACTAGCCAGCCTGTTAATCGGTTCGGTCATACTTTAAGCAATCTTCTCATAAGCTGAAACATTGAAATAATTGAAGCTGATTTGGCTACTTTGAAGCGGTTCAAAAAAATTAAATTGAAGCACTTCGCTTTAAACTTTTCGATCTTTTCTAGCTAACTATTCAAGGGATGAAACTTGACATGTTGATTTTGACAGCTTGAAGCAGTTCGCAAGGGTTGAAGTGTTCAACCAGTAAAAAATTGAAAGAATCCAAATTGAATTCAAAACTTGAGCCAGTTTACAGTGGCAAAAAAACTTTTATTCCATGCAGCTTAACAAGCGATCGAACTAAAAAGTATATTTAAAGATGTTGTGGTAGATTGATGATTAAAAAAAAACTTTTTCTTCAAGCAAGCAAGCTTTCGAAGAAATGCTTTTTGAAATAATTTTTTTTGAAATATAACGTTTTGATAGCTTGAATTGCTTTAAATAAAATACTTTCTAGCAATCATTGCAGGTGATGAAACAATGAGATATGTTTTCAAAGCTTGAATTAGTTCGCAACAACTTCAAGTTTTCGGAAGCGATCTATTGAGCAAAGTAAGTGAATTATTTCAAGTTGCTTAGTAGCTTGAAATATCTGCTAAATTTTTTCTTAAGCTAGCAATCAAGCGACAAACTGAGCAAAAATTGAAACTATTTGATAGCTTGAATTGATTCGCAAAGTTTTTCTGCCACTATCTATTGAAGCCATAAAACATTGAAAAAATCAAGTTGCTATCACCGCTTGAATTTCATGGCGAAAATATACCGTTTTTAAGCAAGATATGTAAGCAATTAACTTTAAAATACAGTCACCAAGCAAAAGTATCCATACAGCAGTTTTCTAGCATATAAGCTTTGATTGCGTTTTACGCGAGTGGGGTTGCGAATTGGGAAAAAAAACTGTTCATCAAAAAAACTACTGAAAATTCTCCTAGAACACCAATGGTTATTTTGAACCAAAAACTTAAATTAGAGAAACGGAATTATATAGTATTTTATCAAAAATTACGCTGGTTTATATGCATAGACAGAAAACTACGTCTTTAAAAAAATAGGAAGCATATTCTGTTTAAAACCTACATAAAATTGGTAATCCCGAATAGCCAAAATTAGTATTCAAGCCCTTGGAAACTGTCTGTTAGCAAATAAATTGGCTCTTCGGGGCTTTTTTGTTGTTGATTTTGAACGAAAATTTATTAGTAAGATTTAAAACTCCGTTTTCTAGGAAAGCTGACCAAGTGATGATTTTATCTAAAAAAAATTATACGCTGTTTGGATAGCTTGAACTGGTTTGATAAAATACTTAAAATCTTTTGAAGCGATTACAACCATAAAATCTTCAACTTGACTTCGAGAGCTTAAATAATTTGCTCAAACTTTTTTGAAGCAAACATTTTTTGCGATAAAACCTTGAAACATTTCAACAGGAAATTTTCTGCAGAGAGCTTAAAAAGAGCGATAGAACTTTGAACTAATTCAAAATGACTTTTCTACAAAAAATTTTCTTAAGCAAGCTATCCAGCGACGCAAAAATTCGAAGCAAGCTTTTGAGCCGAAAAACTTTGAAACTTTTAAAGTATTTTTGATAGATTAAATTGCCTCCCAAAAATTGAAAAATTTTCACGCGGCAGTGTTTCCAAAAAGCTCACTTAAGAATATTAGGAGAATCTCAATTTAAGTTTTCAACGTCTTCGACCAAAGACAAAAATGGCTGTAGCTTTTAGTTGTTTCGTTTCAGAAATAAATCTGCCACACGAAACTTGGCACACAAGACAAAAAACTGAGACATCTGAAGATGAATTGAGTTGAGGTTGTCTAAAAAGTTGACTTTTCACAAAAACAACTAGAATATTTTAGAGTTCAGATTATTTGAAAAATCAGAAGATTCTCGACTGAACAATTCTTAACTACTGAGCTTCATGATCGGACTTAGCCATTCTTAGACCTTTTCAACCAAGCATTCTTAAGCGTTGCGCTCAATACATTAAGTTCATAGCGCATTTAAAATAGAGCAAAGCAGTTGATAAAGCTTTAACTTTTTTAGACCCGAAAAAAAACAGCTATTTGCTTATCTTGTAACAGAAAAACTTTCAAAATCTTTTTCATTGAACTATTCACGTGACCAAAAAAGGCTAGAAAACATCTGTTATTCACAGATCGAGAGCGCGAGAGGATTGAATTTACCCCGCAGGGAGTTTTGTTAAAACTAAATCGAACTATAGACAATATACATATAGTTTCAACGCCGAGGAAAATTCAGACGAAAGAAAACTAGGTGACCAAAAAAAAATGAAAATTAACTAATACTCGTTAAAAAAAGATAATTAACTATTCTGGTAACGCTTAAGATTACGGCGCGGCAGAAAGTTCAGCTGCAATTGTTGTACAACGTACAAGAAATGTTTTCTGCTTTTTTGCAACTTCCTGGAGTCTAACTGTTGCGCACGCTTCGTCTCTTATCACAAAAATTTTTCGACTTGATTCTGGATAATTTTAGAGTAATAGGTTTTGGTTTTATTTCAGAAGCATAAACCTAGCTTTCAGAGAATTTGGCAAATAAATTCATCCAAAAGATTGGATAAATTTACGCATATGGAGTGTATATGCACTCTATCCACATTTCGGGCGTTGCCGAACTTTAACCGTTGAGCGATAAACCTTACTTTGGCATCGGTAGAAAAATAACCCAAACATAAACATCGCCAATTCGATAGTCAAGTCAACCTTTAGAACTTTTTATTCCCGTGAGTCTTTTCATTGCAATTAATGTTCGGTTTTAGCTTTAGATTTTTCTTAGCCTAATATATATCCACAGTTCTCGATGGGTTAATCAACTGATAAATTCCAGTCACACACATACTTGCGATATATACCATCAAGCAAATTGCATTACGAGCTAGCGGATAGATAAGACAAAAGTAAAAAAAAATTGAAAAAATTATCGAACAAAACTACAAACATATGTCTAGTATGAAACTCAATTTAGAAACGCAATGCCCAACGTTAACTGAGCACAGAGAGAAGTTTCAAACGAAAAAAAAAATTTATTAAGGATCACGAACTTTTAGAGGAAGAATAATTTACACAGAGGAGCAGCAAAGCTTCTCATCACTTGCGATGCAGTTCATAAGTAGCAAATGGGTGCGGAGGCCAGTAGGTCGGAAAAAAGCAACATAAAAACGTCTGTCTCGGATGACGCTCATTTTGACAAAACGGTTTGAACATCAAAAAAACAAGCTTTTATTCAAAAAAACGTTTCTGATTGTGCACGTTTATTCTCTTGTTGAAGACAACCGATAAGTAAAAGCTATAAATACAATATTTGGGTTGACGTCAGTTAAGCCGAAAAAAAAGTATCCTGGGAAATTTGATGCGATAAAAAGTTTTAAGGCTCCAAAAAAAATGATTTAAAAATTTTCTATTTTCGAACAAAAAACTATACATTTAAGTTCCCTTGAAATTCGAGAATGAATAATGATTTGCACGTTTTATTTTTAAATTGTTCCATTTAGAGAAAACTGGATCAATGAGTAGTTTTTTCTCCGCTGGGAATTTAGAAAATGTAAGTCCATTTTCAAACTAAAAGTCATTCATGTTTTTCGTGACATTTAAACTTTTACTGCTCTATATTGCCTTCACTTTAACAAAGTAAATGAACCGAACTCAGCAGTTAAAATCATAAATGCCCATAAGCCATTAAAACAAAAATAATTTAAAGACGATAGTATACAAAAATCTTGAAACTCAATTACCTGTCTCTTTATAAATATTAAATACAGCACTCTAAAAAATGGAAAACTAACTGACCCCCTAAAATCCAAGTTTCGGAAAGAAAGCTGTTAAATATTAAGACAAAGGATAGTCCGACAAATAGGCGGGTACTTGGACCCCACAGCATAGGCTCCCAAGGCACCCACTTCAGGACCCAATACGAAGCACATGAAAGCTACTGATGTGTCATATGGAAGGTGAAATTTTGAAGTAAGGAGCTTACGGTTTTAAGAAATCCAATGTTTCAAGACTAGAATAACGACAAGCCGCTACCAGGGGTTTACCTCACATCCATTTTATCATATGCCTCTTTCTACTGCAGTTATGAAACAGAAGTATTTTCATAGTTGTTGTTTTTTCTTTCATACATTATCACGACCTGTTGGATTTTTATAGCTAATGACAGGCCTCCGAAGCAATCTAGAATTTTGCCAAATAGCTTGCAATTAACGTCATTTAAAGTTCAAAAATGACAAATACTTCCTACGGATCAATTCGCATCTACGAAAACCTCGGCAAAAACTAAACTATGCAACAAAACTGGTTGCTTTCAATGAAAGCAGCCAATGTTCGAGAAAAGCAATTTTTCACTTATCTCATATAAAAATGTATTTTTTTTACATGTGCCTTACTAGAAGATTAAATTGACGAACACTTGTCGCGAAACACGATTACCAGTGTAAATTACCATTAACCCAAAACGACATATTCGAAACTTGAGCCGGGAAACAATGGCGATAAAAACTTAATGAAAAACAATGTTTTGGAATTTCTTTATCTATTTTCGCTTTTCAAACGACACAGAATGAGGCAATAAAACCTAAATCACAAGAAAACCCGATTAAGCTGAAAAAATCCTCAATGCAAAACAATTGGAAAAAAATACAAAATCTTGGAACTCAGTCACCTACATCAATAAAAATGCTAGCTATGGTAGCATATGAGGTTAAAGCAGCTAAGATTTCAACAATATATTCAACTGTCAGTCGGAAAAGAGCCAATAAACGCAAGGCACCAAAATTGACTTGTTTTTTGAAAAGAAAACTTTCAATTTCAATTTGGGAAAACTGGGTCAAAAGATAATTTTTTAAAGTTTGCTGAGAATATGAAAATGAAAGTCCATTTTCAAAACTAGAAATTAATCACAATTTTCGTGAAAATTACATTTTAGCTTGAGCGTGGGCAAATTTTGAGACTTTGAGTCAAATTTTGACTCTGAAACAGTGCGTGCTTAAAAAATAAGCAGGAATAAGCCGGACAAAACACGGACAAAAAGGGAAGTTCTAAAAAACGGTCATAAGATTTTCCAAAATCCATAACTTTTTTCAGCAAAAAGTAGGTTATAGGCGCTCGAGCAGAAAAGATTCCAAACCGAGTTTCTCGATTGAACCCAACCTGAGAATTGGCACGGTAGTTTTCGCGTCAAGTCAAAAAGTTTCCAAGGAATTGTCAAAGTTTCAAACTTTAACTTGTTTGAACGCCACAACTTTTTTCAAAAACAAACTGCACATAGCCAATTACAAAGTTAGGCTTTCAACAGCCTTGTATTTCGATAAAACCTATGATATCAGATTTGACAGGATAGTAAGCGAGAAAAGTCCAAAAAAAACTTCAACAAGTAACAAAAAAGATATTCATAGCTTTTTGTGTGAAAAATAGCGTAGCCACTTATGCAGAAGGGATTAACACAACCTGTAATTTCAATTGAGTATATATAACACTGTTTCTTTTTTTAGTGTGCTGTTTTCGTCTCTAGTAACTCATCAGGCTCAACATAAAACTGAAAAGTACGAGAATTATACAACAGAAAGGAATAAAATCAGCGTATAAGGAATAAACAACTTAATTTGACAATTACACAGAGACCAAGCGAAGCTTCCTACCATCTGCAATAGACCACAAACATAGCATGTTAAAGCAACTAACAGAAAACGAGACAAAATCGGCAACAAAAAAAATTGAACTTTTGAAGATTGCCGAAAAAAAATCTTCGTCTTAATTTTGTCTCGTATAAATTTCCTTCGAAGAAAAAAATTTAAGTAAGATAATTCAATGCTTAGTGAGCTTCGAAATATAACTTACACTGTCGACAACAAAGAGGGTAAGAATCGGTAAAAAAAAGCCGGAAACACCTGACCAGCCACAAAGCCGAAAAAAGTGTTAATTAAAAAACTCAAAAATAGTTTTTAAGTCACCCCTTTAAAAAATTTACATAATAACTTTTGTATCTCACACGAGAAATAAGAACCATAGGCCGCTTTCGATAATAAAAAATACAAGCCGAAACCTTTTAGGCCGATAGAACGTTAAAAAAAAGAAAAACAGCAAAAAAAAACGATACACTGCAATTGAAATTTGTAACCAACGAGAAAAAAAAACATTTTTGAAGTGGCATTTAAAACTCAGCAAGACTCAAAATATGTTAGTTGACGAAAACAAAGCTTTGTAGAAGTCCACGAACTTGCCTTATCCTGTAAACAATACGCGGAAAAAAAATCAGTTTGCTTTTTGCAAAAGAATTATCACAAGGCCAAAAACAATAAATTTCAAAACATTCAAAAAATAGAGAAAAAATTATGATTCACTTTCAATTAAGGCTTGCTAAAATTACTAAAATTAAACCAAATGTCGAACATGTTCATCAGCCCAAACAACAGGCTAGAAAGCACTAAAAATCTGTTCACGAAATTGACGAGATCGATAAAAAAACCACATGAACTCATGGTGTAAAATACATTCACTAAAATGAAATTGTTTAACAGCATGCTATTCAAAAATTAAGGAAAAAATTGAACAAAGCATACATTACTGAAAAGGACGAAAACAAAAATAAAATCATGTTTTAGTAGCAGTAGTAGTACGAGTATAGAAATTTGAGTAACTTGAGGCTTTCCACTCTCATGTCAGACCATTTCATTGTTGTCATATCTTGTTCATTATATTGCAGTTTGCACATCGGCAGAGTATTCTTCATGTGCACTTGCTCGTCTCGGTGAAGCAGTTTCGAAAAACCGAGTAAATATAAGTGTTTCTTTCGTTGGTGTGCTGTAGTCGTCTCTAGTAACCCTGATTAAGTATTTGTAGAGTTTTTGTTCGTCTGAAAAATGCTCTGTTTTTTTGAAGCAGGCTTGCTCTGCTCGGATACCATGTTTGAGAACAAGTAGCTATGGGGACGACATATCCCGCGAACGTATTTAACAGTGCATGTTGTGTAACAGTGACCACTTCGTGCTAAGTGCCTCTTAATTTAATACAAGTCACTTGGGTCTTTGTTACTCGGAAACTACAGTTTTCAGTCCATGTCCAATGGCTCGATATTATGAGTCCCAGATCTTTTTGGGTCTTTACTCCTGCCAAAGAATGATCTTGTAAGGTACCTTCCAAGTTTCCTTTAAAGTTAGGATTATATGATTTGTTAAGGTTAGGGGCCATTTCGTTTTCTTCGAGCCATTTCACGATACAATTCGTATCAATGTTAAGACCATCCTGATTAAATACTATTTCTTTGAAAACATCCGCGTAAATAGTTATCTATTTGAGGTAAATGGTCTGGCAGATCATTTATGAAAATTAAGAAGAATAGTAGCCCAAGAAAGGAGCTTGTCCGTTCTTTACAACCCTCGAACTCGAATCAATGTTTTGTAATTTGACAAATTGCTGTCTTATGTATGGCATAATTTTTTTTTTCGGGGGACTATGGCTATGGCCACGGCCAATTAAATTCATAGAGACTTCCGGTCAACCGGGTAACAATGTCTGAGTTAAATCAAAATCATATAAAACGACCGGGAATTAACAGAAAAAATATCAGGCAATTATGCCGACATAATTCTAGCAGCGCCCAGAAAAATTCACATAGCAAAATGTTGCATGTAGCATCTACATAATTAGCTTCTTTTTGGGGACTTTATATTTTTATCAATTTTTCAAAAAGAATTTCAAATTTTTCAGGTCATAATGTCTGAGTTAAATCAAAATCATACAAAACGACCGGGAATCAATAGAAAAAACGTGAGGCAATTATGCCGACATCCCATGAGCAGAAAATTTTCGAAACACTTCTGGCAGCGCCCAGAAAAATTCACATAGCAGGTACGCATCAAAGGCACATGCGTAAGTTCAACATTTCTAATTTTTGCCTTTTGTCATTCTGTAACAGTTATTTAGGGAATTACTATAAATTGTCACGAAACAGGCGCTTTCAAAACTTTTTTGGGCTTGCGCTAACATTCGTGGTTCGTTTCTGTAGTTAAGAAAATACAAGTTATCACGGTGCATTTCAAACCGCGGTGACAAAAAAGTTGTCAAGCTCAGAATTGAAATAAACCGTTCACTTGTTTTCTTTAGTATTTTAGCGCTTGGTTCTGAAATAAATCTTTTTCTATAATTGTTGAATAGACAACGCATATTCAACCATTTATGAGATTTTTTATGCATTTGGATTAAAACTGATAATCACCGCTCATTCTTGTGGAAAACAGAAAGTTGAACGATCTTCAATTCCAAAACTGAATTACATCTTAAGGTGTGACAAAAGAGTTACGCAGTTCGGGAAGAACCATTCGGTCTTTAATCAGAAGAAGAATCCGACAATTTTTCCACCCACTCCCCTTTTCCTCGCTTCGTTGTGATCCATGATACCGGCTGAGGTCGTCAGAATTACGTGGCCAAACTGTCGAGAAGGCAGCAAGTGTACACTCCATTGCTCAATATCGGGAACCTGAAATTAATGGAGAACTTGAAACTCCGAACTAACGTTAATCCTTCGTTTTTACTCGAAAGAATCGAGATGACATTGGAGCGAGCAGTTCAAAACACAGCCAACAGACAACTGAAAAAAAAACTGTTAAAAATCTGACGTTCTGAAACTCATTTCCAGCAAACAAATCATCACCGTATAGCTTTGTTCCGAAACTTTCAAGCGTGTCCTATTTTAATTTTAACTTTTACCTCAAAATTAAAAATGAAAACCCTTTCCATCCATTAGGACGTAACACCCTTCCAAAAACACTTCAGTACTAGTTAACTTGTTTGGTCCCTCAAAAATGCTGTGGTCCCTAATAAAAACCGCGAGGTACAGTATGTGGCTAATTCTAACAGTAAGCATTTATATTTCTATATTGCTGTCCAAACAGGCCTAGTTACTCTAGCGGGTACGAATCCGGTTGCCAACCCCAAGGTGTAGGTTCATCCGTGCTGCCTCTTCTTTTTAGAAAATAGGCGGGACCAATCATCTAAACTAGGACCAAACAAATAAACTAGTACCCTTTAATAAATTTAAGAATGCCGGAGAAAGCTATTTAGTTGTGCTGTAACCAATTCATTGTTCAATTCGCGAGCTTATGAGTGAAAAAACTGCTCACGGCATGTACGCGATTCTAAATTATTGTTCCGCCACCAGTTTTTCCGAGAAATTTTAGGAACCTTAGGGAAATAATGAAGAAGTTCAAGTGTGTTCCCATATACAAGTCCTTTTACTCGTGATTGACATTCGAAAGGTCATTTCGAAAAATCTTTCAGCTATTTTGTTTAATTAATTATTCACTGGAATATTTAGCAATTGTTTGATAACATCTAATAGCATCCCTAAAATTCCATGTGATTGACAAAGGATTTAAGCATGTGAAAACTCAAAACAATTATAACTCCGTATAAAGCCTTGCAATGGGTTAGCTGTAAACAAAAAACCTAATGGGTACAGACCTGAACATCAAATCGCGGTGAAATACATCCGCATTTATTCAGCTTTCCATTCAGCTGAACAATAATTTTTCCAGCTCTGTGGTCATCAATGTGCTCGAAAGTTCCAATATAGCCATACTTCTGCATAAGTTTGAGGAACCGGATGATTACTTTACTACATGGCCTTATCAGAACTTGACGCTTTCCTCTCTTTCCAGCATTGTTGATAGCATTACAGGCATCGGCCAACACATTCATACGCACCATTTTGATTTACGTGAGGATCTGAAAAATTAAATCATATTTCTCAAGTTCTTACGGTACTTCAATGGAAGGGCATTTTATAGTTCACCTAGTTCTTTGTGGCTGGCAGAGATCAAAAACTAAAGATAGGCTGATTTTAAATAAAACCTTAAAAATTACTAAGCTGCTAATAATGAGCGATAGCTCAATAACGCCGATGATCCCGATAACTTCGAACATATTCGGGTCATTCCATTATAGCCCCCCATACCAGCAAATAAATAAGATAGAAAAAAACGAGCACAGTTAAATATTGTTAGCATGTTTAGTTGTTCGTTTACAGCTGGTGCTCAGTTCAGTGCTTATAAAACATGGATTCCTGAATGCACTTTCGATAAAACAAACACACCGTTTGTTTTCATGACTTGAATGCCCAAAAAAATCTGCAGCAAGTTTTTGTAACATTCGCCAGCAAGTACATACCGACGGAAAATAAAGCTAGGTTATGAAAAGACTGGCTAGCGTGTTAACTCAGCTTCACGTGCTTTTAACCGTCGCTACCAAAGCCAGTTCAATTTGTGGTCCATTAAATTCGCGTCGACAAGGTCATTACTATTTAGTTACCGCGCAAATTAACGTAGTTACATGCAAAAATAGCGAGCTCATGGCTGGGTCTCAGTATCCCCAGACCACGAGGTCACTCCTAAAAACAGGGCTACTACTTAATTATCATATTACTATTGTTTTAGTTCGGTAGATAAAAACCAGCATATTCATCGGAGATGGATCAACCCTTCCATTTAACTCCTAGCTTCTCATTATCTGAAAACGAACCTGATGTTATGCAACAGTCGTCTGCTTATGTCACGTATGATGTTAGGAATAAGAGGCCGTTTAACCATTGGCTCAAGAGTCAGGGAAACTATCTCCTGTGCTTTTATACCTCATTCAGTCCGAGCCAAATCCGTTCGCGTGAGACATGACACTACAAAATCTTGTAACAGCTTAAAGGCTACCACCAAAATAATCCCTACCACCCTAGCAATAAAAATGTCTCCATGTCTAGGTCTCTAAACACTTAAAACACAAAAACGCCATTCAAGACAGGTATACCATTAGTTTTTAATAGACAGTGGCTCTTTGATCCATTTCAGATGGATCAACCTAAAACTCGCCTTATCTCAACATAATCTCAGAAAATACACTCAACAAATCGAATGTAGTACTCATAAAGTGAAGCGACTCTAGAATTAGTTAAATAGTATCAGTAAAGCAAATCTAGAAGTTTTTTTGTAATAAGTAGTTTTAAATCAAGAGTTTAGTTTACTGAAAAATTGGGCAGCTTCCTCGTCTGCGTGCCCAATCAAGATTTTCGCTCCCTCAGCGATGGTACTCTCGTAGAAACTCGCGATGCTCTCTGTCAGGAATAAGACAGCTCTACTCGATTTGTTGATTTCAGTGAAGTTGCGAACAGCAATATTATTCTAGTCTGATTTTTGTCGATTTTCCCGCAATTCTGATTTGAGTCTTCTGTTAATTTTCACTTCCATTTTCAGTTGTCGCGAGAAACATGAGCATGACATGGTCAATGTGAACTTTTGAAAAATCAACCTTTCCCCGAAATCGAGGTCAAACTTACAAATATGACCGACTGGCACATACTCCCAGGACTCAAGATCGATGTCCCCATTGTGCGTCGTTGTCGCGTCAGTGAGCCTCCAGTATATCGGTTGTGCCTCACGATACAGTGCCAGTGGTCATTTACAGAAGTTTGCTGCAGATTCAACCTTATCTACATCCCCAAAATTCACAGCCATACAAAATTGTGACTCTATAGCTAAACAGCAGTCAAAATCTTCATCCAACTGCACCCTGGATTTCAGATTTGTAAGCTAATTTTCTGAAATTTTTATGTTCAACTTAGTCAGAAAATTGTCATGCAAAAGTTTGATATAAGAACAGATATGGTATATTACATAACAATAGTCTGTTTGTTAAAATTTCTTTCTCGTGCCCTCAGATTTCATCCGAGTTCACACTCAAGTCCCCATTTCTTTTCCACCAAGAATCCGTTCAAAATCCCCAGCTTAATTCGTCCCCACTGTTTTTGAAGAAATAGATCCAGATGCGCTCGATACCGTGATCTGCCTCGTCAACACTTCTTCGTCATCAGAACTATTCGCAATCTCATCCCATGCCTTCAGTTGTTCATAGGCCCGCTCTTTTAAACTTTTTGGATGGTTTGGTAGCTTCTTCACCTTGGGCTCCCTTTCAGGCAAAAAGAGTGATGTAAGCTAGAGCTCACTTTTTTTGCTAGGTCTCACTCCAGTATCGACTGCCTTGCTTTAGTATCATCTCTAGATACCTTACCAACCCGCTTCCATCCCGTTGTTATTCCATTGCGATGGGTGAGCAGTGGTTTACTGAAAGCGTCCGGCCCTATCTTGGCCAGGAACTGACGATAATCCTGCTAGTGGTTCTTCGTGTGATTGTTTGTCAAGTTATACAGCCAAGAGGTCAACGTCGCTCTGAGCCATGAGAAAAAATTGTATGCGACTCCATACGCGGCTCATTTCCATAGGTACAGCGAATATCTTGCAGGCAGTCTCAAAGAACTCAAATCTCCTGCTAGAATCAATAGCGTGTATCGCCTCCACGGTTGGTGCCTTTGACTCTCGATACTTCGTTACGTTCTCTTCAATCCATCGCAATGCCGCATCGAGCTCACCACGAAGAGAGTGACCTTTTGTTGATCATCTGGCAATCCTATCGCCCAAATTTACTCAACAGTCCACATCAAGCAGATCTTTGACTTCTCCGGATACCACATATTATGTGCTAGGCAATGGCAGGGATAATCTCCAAGTTTTATATTAATGCTCTGGAGATTGCTCTGGAGATTGCGTAAAGAAGCGTTCTCCAGAAGCTTCGAATTCTATCATTTTCGCGCGTGTCAAGTCATTCTCATCCACAGCTTGGGCGTTATAGAGTGTTTTGTCGCACGCACTCTGTTTATCTAATTCACTAATTTTCTCCTTCTCCAAACTCAAGAGTTCTTCTGACCAGATATCGCTCAAGTCTTCCACCTGGGTCCTGGCACCGCTCCCAACATCCTCCGAAGCAGCGGGTGTGAGTGATGCCAGATTCTTGCTAGTCGTACGCACTTGGGCAACGAGAAAGCCTTGTCAACCTTTACCCTGGGACTAGACGCTTCCACCATCGACATGTGCAACGGTTAAGGGCTCCCGCACATGTTTGGCATGACCTATCCCACAGAAGACTTCGAATTCATTGGCAGACTATAGACTTCACTCACTGGTAATCCCATTTCTGCTTCCAAGTCGACTTTCCATCCCTTGATGTGTTTCTGGATCATTTGCAGCACTCCAGGCCAGGACTCCACACTCAACATGGTCACCAGATGGTGCTCTGGCTCTAGAATTTGCAGCGACTCCAGACTACACATCCTCGAGAAGAACCCTAGTGCCGTCGCCAAATTCAACGTGGTACTCGCGTAGCAGTCGACTATTATCTGCACCTCGCCTTTTTCTTTCTCTGTAACGTCACCAAACCACGTAGCTAAATTTTTCCTTTGAAACGACTGTATCCTCACGCAAGATCGCCCATCACAAAGTGTTCTCCATCTCCAGTTGTCAGATCAGGACAAGTGCCTGGCTCCATTTTCTTCGGTGGTTTGTCTCTGGACTTATCCGTCGTCCCTTCACACTCTTCTCGATGAGGTAAAATCGGCTTTTGTATCAGATTCAACTTTCCAAGATCCTGATTTTTCCTTGGTGACAATCTCACCCCTTCCGTTACGTTGCACACAGATGACCTCAGGTCCCTTCTCAGGAAGTAAGCCTAGGCTAAGTTTTTCTCTATCAGTTGTGTGAAATTCAATTACGTTTTCTGTCCAAAACTTCAGCAATTCTGTGACCTCGAAATTCATGTACGCAGCCCCTGCCTCTATGCTCAAAAGGGGATCAAATGACATTCCCATGACGCCAGAAACATACTGATTTTCTTCGCGCTCCGTGGGTTTCGATTACTCCTCCGTCACGGCCAGGACAAGATGTACGTCACGATTGCTATCAAATTTCTGGTTCGAGATCCTCCTAATATCTCCAATCTTTGCTTGATTCTCAAGAGATTGCCTGGAATCACCTTCCTTTTCAATGCCGGTACTCTGATACACAATCAAAATGATGCTCGAGATCTTACTCTCCAATGCCTTATTCTTTGCCGCTATTGATAGCTTTGATAGCAGGCCTTTAGTGCAGCATCGGGTATCACTCACATGATCCATCTCAAGAAACAGGTGGCGTCCTTTCTCCTCGCAAGACTCAACCCCGTGGTGTCTGGAGCTACATACTGCATTTGTATTCGGTACACATGTAGGCCTTATCACCCAACTTTAGTTCGTCACATGAAGTCATATCTTCCAACGCCACTCCAGCCAGGCTTCACGTGAACAGCAACTGTCCCGTCTTCCTGATAAGAGGATTCGCCATCAGAGGCTGGGCTGATGAGGGTGATTTGATCTCATTTTCGAAGTATTCTACAATAGTTTCCCCCATGTTTGTCCCAATTGGCTCCTCATCTCTAGTTTGTTCACTTCTGCTTTTTGCTTCGTGGCCCAACTTTGGAGCTTTCTAAATACTCTATTTTCCATTTTCTTCAAACAGTTCTCTAATTTGTTCACCGTATCCAAAGCTATCCACCAGGAGCTAAAAGTATTCCTCGTTAATCCTTTCTCAAGAAGATCACTCGTGACTTGTCCTCCAACGTTGTGGTGTTGACTCGAGATCCACTCCTTGCCAACATCCACTTCCCATGTCTGCCCACTGGTCGAACCTCTCTTTCTCTTTACCCTCTGAGGCTTAAAGTCTTCCTCTGTCCTTGAACCAGGTGTAGCCTCCATCTCGGCTATTACTGCAGCCAACCTCCTAGACGTCGAGTTGCCTTTGTAAGCTGCAGTCTTCCATCTGGCCAGAATCATCGGAGCCGTCTGTTTCAAGCTCGCCTCTGACACCGCCTCCGCTGA